CTGTATGGAGCCAGAGCTATCTGACTTCAAACCTATGATTTTTCTCAGAGCCAAGAAGCCTCAAATAATGCAGCCCCTCACATTATTTCTTAGAAATTGGGAAGATGACTTACTCACCCAAAAAAAGGAGCCCCTGGGGGTCCAAGTGAATAACCACCCTGGCCATGGATGCTGTCAATGAGACCTCAGAGGGAGCCCCATTCATTCTCCTTGGGCTGACAACAAGTCCTGGGCAGCAGGGACCTCTCTTTGTGGTATTCTTGGTCTTGTATGTGGCAGGCATCCTGGGCAATGGACTCATCGTGGCTGCCATCCAAGCCAGTTCAGCCCTCCATGCACCTATGTATTTCCTGCTGGCACATCTGTCCTTTGCTGACCTCTGCTTTACCTCCGTCACTGTGCCCAAGATGTTGGCCAACTTGATATCCCACGACCGCTCCATCTCCCTGGCTGGCTGCCTGACCCAAATGTACTTCTTCTTTGCTCTGGGGGTGACTGATAGCTGTCTCCTGGCTGCCATGGCCTATGACCGCTACGTGGCCATCCGGCACCCCCTCCACTATGCCACAAGGATGTCCCGGGCCACGTGCACAGCCCTGGTGGGGACAGCATGGCTGGTGTCCCACGTCCACTCCCTCCTGCATATCTTGCTCATGGCCCGCCTGTCCTTCTGTGCCTCCCACCAAGTGCCTCACTTCTTCTGTGACCACCAGCCTCTCTTAAGGCTCTCGTGTTCTGACACCCGCCATATCCAGCTGCTCATCTTCACCGAGGGCGCCGCGGTGGTGGTCACTCCCTTCCTACTCATCCTCGCCTCCTATGCGGCCATTGCGGCTGCTGTGCTCCACCTGCCCTCAGCCTCTGGGAGGCTCCGGGCTGTGTCTACCTGTACCTCCCACCTGGCTGTGGTGGGCCTCTTCTATGGGACAGTCATCGCAGTCTACTTCCAGCCCACATCTCAATACAAGGCAGAGCAGGGCTGTGTGGCCACTGTCATGTACACTGTAGTCACACCCATGCTGAACCCTGTCATCTACAGCCTCCGGAATCGTGACATGCAGGGAGCACTCAGAGCCCTTTTCACTGGGCGGAGGATCTCAGCTAGTGACTCCTGAGGCCCAGACCCTGCCAAGGACAGGCCACATCGCCCACATTGATATGTGAATGTGACCATCTGTGCTTTACTAATCTCAAGAATCATAATAATAGTCACAAAGCAGATCCTGGCCTGATCTCACTTTATTCCCACAACAACCAGGGAAGCAGGTATCATGAGCCAGTTTTACATAAGTAGTACAAGGAAATGAGGGCTCAAAGATAAGAAGTGACTTTCCCAAGTTTACACAATTCTTGCAGAACAAAACCTGGACCCTTTCTGCCACATTACACCCTCTTCTAACAGTTAGCCAAGGCATTTAGAAAGCATTCTATCATTTTCTAAGGGCTTAGGGAGATAGGGGAGGGTGTGCCATTCCAGGACTTGCTTTGTGTGGACAAGCACTTTCTTTTAAGTCATATCACCAGGTGTTCTCAAATAAGTTACTTCTCATGGCCTGGTGCTGTGGCTCAAGCCTATAATACTAGCACTCTGGGAGGCCAAGGAAGGTGGCTTGCTTGAGCTTAGTAGTTCAAGACTACCATGAGGAAGTGTGAGAGTGAGATTCCATCTCTACTAAAACTAGAAAAAGAAAAAAAAAAACTAGCTGGGCATAGTGGCTTGTGCCTATAGTCCCAGTTACTCAGGAGGCTAAGGCAGGAGGATTGGTTGAGCCCAGTAGTTCGAGGTTGCCGTGAACTATGACACCATGGCACTCTAGCCTGGGACAACAGAGTGAGACACTATCTCAAAAAAGAAAAAACACCTCGAAGAAGTTACTTCTCAACTGGGACAGGAATAAAAGTCCTCATGTGTGAAGGGCTGGCCACTCCTCACAAGCACAGTCTGGTACTCTGCCCCTCTGAGAGGAATACAAGACTGTGTTTTCATGTTGAGAAGCGTTCAGAAGCAGTCCATTTTTCTTATTCTTTGTTCTTGTACTTGTTTGCTATGATATCACCTGTTCAACCTCATCTGGCCTTCTGTAGAAGGAGCATGTCCTGGCTATGCACATTACTTACAAACAAGTAAGTAAAGCAAACCAAGAAGAAAGGAGGGGGCAGATGCAGGAGGCATTGTGTAAGTCTTTCTCATATGCCAGCACTTCATTTCTTTTTTTTTTTTTTTGAGACAGAGCCTCAAGCTGTCCCCCTGGGCAGAGTGCCATGGC